TTTTTTTTTTTTTTTTTTTCATGGATGAAAGTCTACTCAACACCTTTACATGCATTGGATGTCTTTGAACTAGGTGCATTGGGAAACAACATTTGTACGTAATGCATCGAAACCATTATGAGCTCCAGATACATGTAAAGTACTTTGTAGTGGAGTGACCTAATAACAACTCCGTCCCCGTCTGACTCCTCCGACTCGTGGAAAAGGAAAAGGAACACATGTAGAGCGTATTGGCGTATACACTATGAAAATTTGTGCATGTTTTTTTACCAGAATCGTTGTCACAATCATCTCGAAAAAAGTCCTATGTTGACTCTTTTTGTACGTATGTAAACAATATCATGGCCGCATTCGGCCCCGACAAATATTTATGGCCTCGTCTGACTGAGGGCATCCTCATAGTAGGAGCTGCTACTTATTTATGGAGGTAATTGCGATCAGATACATCCATGTCCGACTGTAAATGTCGTTAGGTCCATTTAAGGTAGAGCAAGTGTTCGCGGCCCCGTCAGGGTTGCGTTTCCTTCCCCTGAAACTTTTCAACGTCACTCAAATTTCAACGTCGGCGGTCGTTCGGGAAGGTGGGCATTTTCAAGTTTGGGAGTCTTGCAAGAACCAGGACCGTGTAGGACCGGTAGCTACCCGTAGGAGGCTGAGGAGGCAGGTCCTTGAGTTTTGAACATTCCGACATAGAAACGGTGTGGTCCACTTTTCTCAAATAGAAAAGCACCTCAAATAAAACACATACACGTTGTATTCAAATACAACGTGTATCGTTTCTATTCGGATTTTGAAAATAAAAAACTCTTGCATTTCAATAAATTACAATTTTTTTTTTTTTTTAGATCAACGTCTTCTCTTGTGCTCCGCGCCACTGACATGATGCATGTTGCAGGTCTCTCTCTCTCTCTCTCACACACACACACACACACACGCGCACACACACATGCTTTCTCTCTCTCTCTCTCACACGCACACACATACACACACACACACACACATGCTCTCTCTTTCTCTCTCACACACACGCACACACGCACGCACACCCACAC